TTAAAAAGATAATAGATAAAAATAAAATCATTGTTGTTACTTTTACCTGGATTAGTGTCAAAAGGATCTTTAAACGAAGCAACGCATGAATTGTTTCGAAGATCATAGAGACGTGAAATACTGTATAAAAGACATGAGCAGATCAATCAAAAATCCTAAGTTAAAATTAATCACGAAATAATTATAATAATAAATTATTATTACCTATCATAACAGCCAGAGAGAAAAGTATGGGGAAAAAGATCCGTCGACTTTAGAGCATATACTGTACTCTTGTGTCCTTTTACACTAGTAACACGTACTAATTCACTTGGAGTCACTTTATACAGAGTCAAATGTTCAGTGCTTTTGTTTCCAACTCCGATCAAATTATTAGGTAAACCACGCATAGCTCTTGGTATTCCAGGGATTTGAGTACTATAACAGATCTCTGCAGTATCAGTATCCCATACACACAATTTCCCATCGAAGCTCACTGAAAATAATGTGCTTGAATCATAAGGAAACTGAAATATCGAATGAACAGGCGCATTATGGCCATAATAAGCTTGCGCGAGGGGAATCTGAGAAATGATTGATTGATCCAAGAACCAGCGTTTAATGGTATGATCCATTGAACAAGTAAACAACTCGTTATAATCAGAACACAAAGCAATGTCTGTTATATCAAGCTGATGAGCGGTAAACGATTTCAGTTTATTGATCTTTTGTGGTTGACCATTCTTCTTCTTTCTGCTGTTACTCGACGTAAAGTCAAAGATATCAAGCGTGCTGCCAACGCTACACACAAGTTTTTCATGGTCAAATCTTAGAGTTGGCAAGTACGATTGACGTTGACTTGAGATGATAGTCGTGGAAAACTCTTTTCGTGCCCAATTTTTATGAGTGGTCACGCCAAATGCGACTTTAGCTTGCCAGTCTTGTTGCTCATTTTTTTCATCCTTTGTGAGGAGATTCCATTTTTGTTCTTTATAGTAATGTTTCCAGCCATACTTTTGAACGATTGCATAATATGCTTTACAGGTTTGCGATAAAGCAACCAAGTCTTTTGGCGAAAGAAGATCAATAATTTTAATTGCTATGTCAAATGGAGCTTGAAGAAGCATGGCGTAAATTTAAATTTTGAATTGGTTGCGGTTGATGATGTAATATGACATTTATCGTACTTTGCGCAGTTTATAATTTTTTCAGACGGCTTGTGCGACTTTCTTCTGCTCATGTTGAAAAACGCGTCGCGTAATAAGTCACAAGCCATTTCTTTTCTATGACATAAAATTTAAAAGGTTAACGAATAATAATAAAAATACACTTTTTCACCTTTGGTTAACTACACTCACTGTAACTCTCTTTTCGAGTATTTAGGATAAAATATTGAATAAGCTTAACAGACCGTTAATTTCAACGCGAAATCAAATTTTTTTACTCGAAAAAGTATTTTAGAATAATTTTTCGCGTTGTGAATTGGCAAAATGTAGTCTTTGTCACTAAATCTTCTAAATATCCCAAAGCTCGCAATGCAAGCGTTAACAATTCGAGAAAATGCTAGGACCATAGAAGAGATATCTTGGCAAATTGCACACGCAAAAAAAATGGTCGTAGTAACCGGTGCCGGGATTTCAACAAGTTCAGGAATACCAGTAAGATATTGATACTTTTTTCACATAAACTTTGGATTCATAATCCCGAAAATATGTATGATAGGATTTCCGGTCCAAAGAAGGTCTATACGAAATGATAAAGAACAAATTCCCCAACGAAAGAATAACTGGCCAACAACTTTTTGATAAAAGTTACCTAAATAATGAGAAAATTCGAAAGATGTTTTACGTATTCATGGGTGAACTACACTCGTTAACTACTGCCGCTGTGCCCACCATGACTCATCGGTTCTTCAAACGACTATCCGAACAAAAGAAAATTATGCATTACTACACACAGAATATTGATAATCTGGAGGCAGCGGTTGATCTTGATGCAGTTCAACTTCACGGTACGATGAATGAAGTGTATTGTGATACGTGCGGATTTACTGTACAATTTACTAAGGTGCACGCAGAAATTTTCAAGAAAGGCGTCCCTCCACAATGTAATGAATGTCGGAAGAGAGGTAAGAAATAACGTACGATTGATTTCTCATCTGAATAGTCATTTTAATATGACACAATTTTTAGAGGCAATCAGGCAAGCTTCCGGCAAGAGAAAACACCGAATCGGGGACTTGCAACCCAACATAACATTATACAATGACGTTGATGACACAACAAGAGGGGTCTATATACAAAAATGCGTGAAAAATGACTTACGGAAAAAACCAGATTACTTATTAGTCGCGGGAACAAGCCTAAAGGTATATGGAGTCAAGAATCTCATAAAGCAACTTGCGAAATCTGTGCATCAAAATGACGGAAAAGTGGTTCTGGTCAATCTCTCGGGTGTTGGCAAAGAATGGAATTCCGTGTTTGATTATCAGATTCTCGCTCACGTGGACGAATGGGCGGAATTGGTAGAGGAACACATAGGTTTAAATAAAACCCAGAAACTATTAATGGGAATTGCTAAGAAGACCTCAGCATCTGTAAATGAATCCATAAGTAAAGGACGTGTCAAACGACGAAGGAAAGATCGGGATCAAGATCGGGAGAACGTGGGAAGTAATAATGATTGTAAAAAGAAAACTCTAAAAAGATCAAAAGCTGAAGTCTTGGAGGTTGTCGAGGCCTTGCAATAAGGTCAAATATATTAAATTAGAACCTGCGTCAAAAAAAGCTTTGAAAGATTTATTTGTATATATTATTAATGAAGTGCTTTTTGATTTGTTAAGATTATAATCTCATAATGTAACAATTTTTCTATTAAAGGTTAGACCCTAACTTTAAATAAAATTTTGCCTAATTAAGGTTAGGATGGTTCATGTGACAAGTTATAATTTATAGATAGAAGAATATAAAAAAAGAACTGATAATGCTGGTAGTAATGTAGTGTTTAACATGAAAGGAACACTACTGCATACAATCACATTTTTTCTCTAAAATAAGTCGTGTACAAGTAAACATTAATCTTGGTATTAAGTTATTTTTGGGAATATGCACAATTAAATGTGTGCATCTCGTTCACTTACCATATCAATCAATGCAATCGCCACACAACATGGGTTTTTTAAATAACTATTCATTCCCCTTTTTCGCTCTTTCCCTCTTTCCCCTCTTGTTCACTGCAGCCTTTTTTGCCTTTTCTCTAAATACATATTAATAGACCGCGCATCTCGCTCAACGAGCAAATAATAATAATAATAATAATATCAAACGAAACAAAATGAGTGCTCTAAAATACTTGTTAATTTTTGCTATTTTTGCTTTTTGCACATTGACATCTGTCGTCGGAGCACAGTCTTCTACTTCAACTTCATCTTCTGTCAAGCCGACTTCGTCTTATTTATGTGGTTCAGCTGTGTTTGATCAATGTTACAACTTCCGAATGACTAATTTGAAAGCTTGCAGTCCAGCGGATAACGCTTGTAACTGTGATGCTCTTAACGGTTAGTAAAGATGACGAACAAATAGTTTTGACATTTAATAACGAGAGAAATTGACCTAACATGCATTAAATCTAATAATTATTTAGCTCTCATCGATTGTTACTATCAATGTACCGACGCTACTATTCAATCAGCTCTCCCAAATTATGTGGTATGTTAAATTTCTGTTAATTTAATAATTGAATAATTGTTTAATGGACTGATGGATGGATTAACTGATTGAATAAAATAAAACAGTCACAAAAGAATGATGCTTGTTCTAAAGTGCCAACAGTCAGTCAAACTTGGACTCCAACCAGTACCTCTGCCGCTGCGACCTCAGCTGTGTCTGCTGGTGGCGGAAACACTGAAATCCCTTCAGCTATTAGCAAGCCCAATGGATCATCATCTATTTACAACAATGATCAATATATATTCGTCGAGAAATTGCTTTTAGCAATCACCGCTATTGCTTTCTGTCTCGCCTTTTAAAAGTTCGACTGACTTTTTGTCATTTTTATTTATACATTTATTAGCAGCTTAATTAATTAATTAATCATCGAGAGCAAAAAAGCGAACACTTTAATCATCAATTAACATTAATTTTTTAGTCTTTTATGGTAAAAAATTTAGAGCCTAGAAAATGATTAAACATTTTTTGTTCTTAAAAATTTGACATAGAATACAAAACGAAAAGACTTATATATCCTCCCAAAAATTATATTTTGATACTTTTTCTCTTCTTATTTTCTTAATGTTTGGGAAATAAAATATGATCGATATTAAGTATATTTTTATCTTTGGGATGGAAACGTGAATGAAATCCGTCTAAAAAATTTTGACAATATTTGTCATCAAGTCCATATTCAACACGTTAATTGAAAACTAATCCAAAAGATGAAAAGGAATTTACAGAATCGTCAGGTTCTATTTATTTTCTCCTTTGAGCACCGAGTCAATCAAATGAAGGTTGGTATTATCTAACGCTAGTACGTAGCAGCCTAAAATGAAAGAGTATCTCCAAGTTGTATGTTACCCTTTTCAGTCCCCGAAGAAATGGCCCAAATTTCATTTTATTCTTTTCGTTTTAATCTATCACATTACCCTTCAGAAAAATTCTTTGGTCACGTACATAAATTCATTAAGATGCATCAGGGATTTATTTATTAATCAAATAAATACTTAGATAACAGAATGGATGTTTTTTTAAAAACTTTACCAAGTTTTAAATATTTTTACGCTAGCTTTACACATCCCCATATCAAACCAGCGCACATAAATATAATTATTCTATATCAACACTTTCTCGATAATTATTCTTATATAAAATTTATGTTTATTCCTAAATTTAATGTAAATTTACCAGATTTTTGCATTTTTTCCAAAAACTATGTTGAAATTTACGCATTTTTTCTGAAATTCGTAACCAAAATTTGTGGGTATGTTTGATATTGAAATTAATAAATTTCAGCGCTTGAGTCCCCTTTATTTTTTGCATCGTATATTCGAATTGTATTTTTAAAATGTAATTATGGTAAAAAAACCAAGTTTCCTTGACTTTGACCAAGTAATCAAGCGTTCATTGTAATTCTCATCTTAGTAAAGTTCTTAAATTATCAGAAAAAACATAATTTATCCCAAAAAATAGTATTTGTTATTACCCGCCTAAATACACAATGTCTGTTATTACCCGCCGAAATACTCACAATGTTTGTTATTACCCGCCGAAATACTCACAATGTTTGTTATTATTACCCGCCGAAATATACACCCTGCTTATTCATTTAAACAATCCCAATAATAGATGACAATGAACAATTTCCCGTAATAAAACATGCGTTTCTTGATTGTCATATAAATCTTTTCGTCTTCCATGCGAAAGATTTCTTATTTTGAGTTAATAAGATATTGTCTTTGAACTAATTTTCGAAGGGAATAAACAAAACAAACGTGCACATTTGCTTACGACAGTCAATCATTTTCTTCTATTACTGCCACCATTGCTATTATTATTATTATTCTTCATTATTAGTATCAATAATGATAGCCCTTTCATTTCTATAATACATTGTTTTTTTGCGCGGGTTCTCCAAACAACAAATAACGACGACCATAACAATGATACAATCACAATCATAAACAATGTATGCCAGATGCAATTATGATGATATACGGCGGCAAGATGGCGGTTCTTTGCTGCTGTGAGGCGTGAAAGGGCGGGCTTTAACAATATTACTGCGTTTGATGTAGAAACAAAAAATTACCGAAATAATTAACTCATTGATTAATGAATAAACGAAAGATGAGTGAAATTTATTATTTTCGGGTCTTTTGAATGATTGAATAATTAATTGGTCAATTGAATGATTGATGTTATTATTTTCTCAGCATTGTTCTCTTGCTCGCGCAAAGCGACGCAACGCTACGCGAAGCACAAAGTAATCAATCAATGAGATTAGTTAAGTGGTGAATTAATGAATCACAAGTGAATGCAATCCAAGAAAGACCATTTCCTCATGTTCGTTCATACAAGAGACAAAGAGCGCGTAAGAAAAAAAACTTCGATAGCTAAACCAATGCGAAACAAATAACCGAATAATGAATGAACGTGAACATTTCGTATAACGGTAATAGGTCCACGCCCAATTAACTTCATGTAGCCGCGGCAAGGTTCTTTATTCTTCTGTTTCTTCCCCTTTCACATTCTTTTACTCTACAATTTCTTAATTTTGAAATTTTATTTATATTACGCTAAACTAAAACTTATTCACAAGCAATTATTAAAGTTTAATTATTAATAACACATTCGGCGACCAAAACAATAGACGCTGCATGCAACCAATACAATAAAAAAAACTCCACTTGGCCTTATTAAATTCGGGGTCATGCAGCAGCAATTAACCAAAATCGGTTTCCTTTAGTTTTTTCTCCGTATTGAACAATGACAGAACAATGGCATATTAGGTACGTAAATAGATGTCACACGCTCATAATCAATCGATCAATAGGAATAACTAAAAAACGCAATCTTGTGTTTGTGTAATATCGAAAATGTCAAAATTTGTTTGAGATTAATAAAATTCAAAACTGAAATAATTGCCGATTATTCCCATGATGGTAACGACCAGATAAAAGGAGAAAGAGCGGGAGATGAAAAGATATAGAGAAGAAGAAAAAAAAATGAAATACGAGGTATCAGAGGAGGAGGATAAAGAAGGGGGTTAGTAATTTTGATAATGCACAGTGAAAGAAACATTAACTACGGCTCATTATTGAACAAAAACACTGTGCTGCACATTAGTAAAACGATTGTGCACAGAAATCCGAATACCGACCATTAATAATGCTTCCTTTCGTTCATTTAACCCATTCGTCTGTCTTTATTTCCTCTTTATTGAATTAAATGCATGAAGGGAGAAGAAAAAAAGGGGTTAACCAAAATATCATTGTTGAAGAATTAACGAACGAAATGTGTGCGCAAGCAGTGCACATACTCTGGGATAATGGTACACGCATATTACATTGTGAGTATAGTTGACTTATTTTGTTAAATTTTAGTCACTAGTCAAACCATCGAATCTTTTAATTTAGATTAGATTTTCGCAAAGAAACCGTTAGTTGTTATCAACTGTTTATTACATATTATAATAAAAAAATAAAATAAATTTATTCATACAATGATATTAATACAAAATTAAAAGATAGATATATATATTTATATATGAATATGGTATTAATTAATTTGAAAAATGATGATTAATTATAAAATGCATGTGGTGGAATATATTATAGCGTAATTTAAGTTTTGGACATGATGTCAACATATTTTTCTTCTCAAGTTTAAAACTAGTTTTTTGGCTAGAAAAAATAGTTTAAATCAATGTTCCCCATGTATTGTGCATAATTTTAGTAAAGGGTAATATGTACAATATAAATGACATACAACATAATAAATTATATTGTAATGTATGTATAAGAAAAATCATATAAAAGCATGTGCGTGTATGTATGTACGTAGGTGGGTTAAATAATATATGATGTGAAGGGGATTAAGGTAGAATTGGTTTTTTCGGATAATTAATTGACACGAACAACATAGAAAACGACAAAAGTCAAACGAAAAAAGTTGAATATTAAAAAAAAAGGACAATGATAATAGATTTGTTGAAACAAAGGATAATGCAATAACATGGTCGAAAGACATATACGTAAAAGGATAACGAATAAACGAACAGAAGAGAAACAGAATAGGAAGAAAGAACAGAACGAAATCGGATAGTTGGAATATCAAACATGCAGATATCGATATGAATGAATGAAAAAGGGAAATGGTGCGTGCATTTCCTTAATGAAAAATGTATTATAATGAAAAAATGTATAAACAATTGTCATTATGTGACTAACATTTCTACGATTTATTTTTTAAATTTTTGATCACATAAATTATTTAAAATTTAAAATAATAATAATAATAATAATAATAATAATAATAATAATAATAATAATAATAAATATATATGTATACATATATATATATCTATATATATATATATGTATGTATGTAAAAGATAGTAAATATATAAAAAAAAATCGTGATCACCGAATTTCAATGTGTGTAAGTTGACTTTTGCGTGCTTTATCTCTAAGTTTTTATTTCGCAGCAGTTACTTTCTACACAGAGAATTTTTATAAGCAGCGATTGGTGAAATGAGCGATGGAATGTCGTACTGCTAGTTGGATATTTCAAGAACGATATCCGCCTTCTCTCATTCCTTGATTGGGATCACGTATTATTGGGTTGCTGTTATTGACGCTGATTGACGCATTCGTCATAGTTACGTAGATAAGTATTTTGATGATGGGAAGAATATAGCTGTTGGCAGCTACCTTGACGATTGGATAAAGTTCCTCTATCATGAGTATTGAGCGGAGGACTTGAATGATTCGTATAAGTATCGTTTATCGAATGATTGGAATCAAATTTGATAACTTCCGGTGATCTGATCGAAATTTGATAACTCCGGAAGTTCTATGCAATTAATAATGATTATTAAAATTAACAAATAAATAAATAAATAAAATAAATGGATGAATGAAATGAATAAAAATTATAAGAGAAAAAAAAATACTTTTATGAATGCTGGTGATGTTGCATAATGAAAAGTTCTCACTGCGAATAATGAATCCACCGAACTAATTACTTCCTTAATTTCGTTTTGATCCAGATATGCAAAGCTACAAAAGAAATAGCATTTTAATAAAGATAAATGATTATAAAATAAGGGCGTAAAATGGTCGATTCAGTATTTTTTTAAAATGATCTTCGCTGCAATGTAATGTTTATATAATGATTTGCATGCGTTTCCAAAAAACGTATTTTAACTGCAGGAACATTTGTAAGTATGTATGTGTGTATGCTCGTAGGCTTAATACGTACTTTGCATCATCAGACTCGTAAAAATTTTCAATGGTAGAGTCCAATTCAACGTTTTGATTATGAAGATTCTCGGTTTCGGAATTTATGTGTGCTAATCGCACCTTTAGCTGGGCGATTCTTCGTGCGTTGTTCGCCTCATGGTTATTAGCTTGGAAATGCGTCAATTTATGAATACTATTTATTTTAAAATACGCTATTGATATTAGCATATATTCATATGATATAACGATAATGAATAACCAAAATGTGACTATTACTACCATCTCACGTGGTTTTTAGAGTTCTTTTCGATTAACCCTATTCCTTCCAAAACATTAGTGATGTCGTAAATACGACGTTTTTGAACGTTTAACTTATTGGCCGCGATGTTTAAGTCTAAATCGCCGTCCTCGGACTGTTCGAGGAGATTCCAGAAATCCTTGGTTAATTTCGTGAGAGAATTGTCGAAACGACAGGAAGTATTGCTCCCTAATATTGAATTGACAAGGTTCAGTTTGTTTTCAAATATAACATTATTATTGAATAAATTTGAAGTTTAAAAGCTTCATTTTACCATTGCTCGTGTGTCTTTCCGGTCGCTCTGCTGTCGTATCGTTCATAGGAAATGACGTTTCATTATTATTATTGTTGTTGTTGTTGTTGTTGTTGTTGTTGTTGTTGTTGTTGTTGTCACTATTCCCGTTATCTCTACGCTAAATAAATGTAAACGCAACGAAAGATGTAAAAATAATATTAATTGTAATGAATATATGTTGAATTAGCGTTCTTGCTTAAAAGGATGGTGTATCTCATTACCTTTCGCGATATTTCCTGATGTTTCTTTACTGCGATTTTAGAAAAGTCCATTTTTGAGGCAAGGGGAAACAAAAAATTGGAAAGTTTATTTTCTGTAATGTTTGACCTTTAAAAAACATCAATAGGAAGACAATTATTAGCATGTTCCCATTATTTTTACCTCCAACATGACTTCTCGTTATCGGAGGCATTTTTTATTAATTAGAGAATGAATAAAGAACAAAGAGGAATAAAGCGAGAATAGGAAAAATAACGAAGAAAAGGGAGGAGAGGATAAAGAGAGAAGGAAAGAAGCGATGTTTCGACTTACCAGCTATCAAAAATCCAATTAACGATGCCTATTTAATAGATCAGTTGCATGCAGGAGCAATGACTAAAAGTAGGAGGTAACTTCGAAATATGGTTTTTCTATTATTTTTTATTTATTGTATTTAGTTGTTATCTTTCTTATTTTCTCTTTTTTGATTCTTGCTACTTTTTTTTTCCGAGTCTGATTTATGACCTTTTTATACCTATTCGAGTCTCATAGAATCCTAAACGACAAATGAAAATAGAATATAACACAAATATTTACACACAGATGTTGAATAATGGATGTATGAATTGTGTGTACACCTATTCATGAATGGGAACGGACGAATAGGTGAATTCAAGGGAAACGTCATCATAAGAGAAAAAAGAAGGAATAAAGAGACAAGGAAGAATTTTTTTTAATCTCGCCACTAATATTATTCTCATTGTTATGCTCACACACACACACACACACACACACACAACACGCATATATATATATATATTCGGATTCCTTGAGAATAATGATAAGATTAATTTTACATATAAACGGTAAGTATATTTATATCTACTGGACTAATTTAACAACGCGTTTGATCAATTTCTCGTTTTCTAAATCAGGCATCGTGTCTTTTATTTGGATCAAGAATTTTTATTATTGTTAATTTATTTGTTCGTGCACGCATTTACATGGTTTTGTTATTATTACCACTGCTTTTACACTGTAGTATGTAAAAGGTAATGAAATAAGGTTTTTGTGTAATTTCAGTAAAAAAATATGTTTTAAATAAAAAACATTATTAATAATATAAATGTAATATAAAACATGAACAGCAGCAAAAAGCAACATGACATGAACTATTATTTACTTACCTACTTATTACTACATCAATTACAACAAGTTTCAATGGATTAAAATTTTGTCGCAGATTTGTCATACAGAAAAAATCCAGTATCAAGTATGTTATGATGTTGTGTGTATGTTTCTTGTTTGATGCGCGCTAAAGCCATTCAATTTCACTATAAACTGGCAATTAACAGGATTCTTTTGCATCATCGTTATCGTCATCAGCAGCATTGAAGATTTTTCGTGTATGTGTGATACACTGTATTATAATTTTACCAAATTCAAACACAAACACACAATCATTGTTCTCAAACACTAAATTTATTTGTCAATCAAAAATGTTTGTTTCTGCATAAATAAATTCCATTATGTCTTGGATCGATTGGATGAAAATCAATCGACAAGGATAGACAAAGAGGTAAGGAGAAATCACTGAAAAACCGATGTGTTCGAGAAAATTAAAAATAATGTAAGCGTGTAATTATCGTGGGAGAATGTGCGTGGTGCTATTGTTCGGATTTTAACCTAACGTAATTAATTTCCCTCGAACAATGATTATTCCGTGATCAGGGATTAACAATGGAAATTTTTAACAGTGGCTGATAGCACGTCATTTGCTGGGTATAGGAACTTTGTGTTTGAAACTTTGGTTTATTTTTTTTTTACGAGATGATACTTCTGTAACCTGTGTTCCTGCCTATTTAGTTCACTCGTTTCTTTTCCAATTTAATTCGTTCGCCCTATTATTTTCTATTTTTAATTTTAAGCTAGTCATTGTTTAAACTTTAATTATCATTTAAGCTTACTTTTCATCCCATATCAGTAAAAAGAAGGGAAACACAAAACTTTAATTGGTCGCCCAGGTTTGGTATCTGAAACCGCAACAATAGCAAAAAGGAAAAAAAAACTACTACTACTACTACTTTTTTGAAATTGACTTGATCTGATATGATGATGGTGATAATAATGATGATGACTAGGTAACCATGAAAAAATGATGTAATATGTATTTCCTATTAGTAAGCGGAAAGCAAAAAAATTTTTATGCAAATTTACATGCTGTGTGATTCCGTAAATTCTGAAACTTTCTTTTACTCCTTTCCTTTCTCGCAAACACACATGATGATGATTATTATTATTATTCATCTGCCGTCTAAAAATTCCCAACCGAATTTCTAAAATCAAATCACATTTGCATATAAAGTAAAACTGTTTACTGATTTTCTCCCAATTATTAATTTTAATTATTATTGAGATTATTGTTATTATTATTATCATCATTATCATCATCATCATTACACCAAGTTTCATCATGACTATATTAATCATATTACATCTCAATATTCTTTTCCACATTGTTTGTCGCCTATAAAAGGCAACACACATAATAAATAAGGTTATTGTTTGAAATAAACCATTAATTTTTTCTATTTTCGTTCGCTTCCTTGTCTTTGACATCCTTGTTCAGAACAATAGCTATTGTTCTGAATCATTTGAATAATGGAAGAGAAATTAAAACAACGACGAAAATTTCGATCATTATTTAGACAAACGAGATCAACATTAATTAATTAGATTAGAAGATCACAATTCATTTATTGCCACTAACAATGGACGCAATTATTAATAAAAACATGTCACAACAAATAAAGGATGTTGAGTAATAAACAAAGTGTAATTAATTTTTTTTTTTGCTACTGTGGTGATCATACACAAATCGATTTTAAAAATGTACGTGTAATGAAGCTAAAACCAATTACACAAAATCGCGTTTGATACGCATCCCACATAAAGTCTGGTGTCGATCACACATTCTTGCATAATAATCTTTTGGTTAAACACGGGGGTTTGGTCACATCTTAAAGATCGTATCATGAGAATATACATCGGGTAAATATTAAGAGTTTTTTAATCACACATTATTAAATATGGTAAGTAACCAAATAAGTTGGTGTAAATCGATACTTAGTTTTTTTTTGTAATTGCTTTCGAAACTTTTGGTTTTTTTTATTGACCCATTTCTAGGCTTATTCAAATCTGAGATGTATCAAGTTGCGGATTTGAATAAAAATTTTTTTTTTATTAAACTATTTACTAAAAACTTTAACTTTATTATCGAATCATTATAATCATGAACTAAAAACTTTAACTTTATTATCGAATCATTATAATCATGAATGGACGGTTGATTATTTTTATGCCTTTTTGTCGTTGCAAAACAGCATTCAGCCCATCAAAAAAAAAATTTCTGCGAAAAGGCTATATTTTTTAGAAGTGGATCATTATCATGACTTCAGAAATATACTAATTAACAAGCTCTCTATGTAATAATATTTATATAGAAATTTCTTATCCACAAAAAGAAATCCACCAAAATTAGATATTTTCTATTTTAATGAGCATTTTAATAATTTCATAACAGATAATCATACTAAAGGTGTCGTTTCACGCAAATTTTGACACCTCTCTCACTTTAATACCTAGTCGTTAACCTATCGAGTATGCTGTTTCATATTTGTCCTAGGCGACTTTGCACGAACCAGACACACATGCTGTCTTTGCGCGTAATAACTCTAACGATAATATTTTCACTACAAAAACATGCTAAGCAGACTTTTTCTAGGTATAATTAGATTTTCATTGGCAAATTTAGCTTATTATACAGAAATTTTCGACACAAGCTAACAATTAATCTATTAAAGAAAATTGCTATCTTTTAACATCACCTATAAGCAACTAATGCGGCAGAACTCTATTCGCGAATTATTCTGATCATAATACAACGCAGATATTTCATCTTAATTGACCAGTTTAATCCGAACGTTGTTATATATTCTGGCAAGATACTCAAACATAAGAGCAATTTCTGTCACAATTGACGCTGATGTGCTACTTGCGTGCCCAAATTTTTTCTTAAGCTTTATCCTGATGGTGTGTCTTAAAATTCACTTCAAGAGTGTGTCTTAAAATTCACTTCAAGAGTGTGTCTTATATATAAATTTACTTACTTCAAGACTAATTATGTTACAAGAATACTCGTTATATTTGAAATTAGTAGATTTTTCTTACTTCCCGCGAGTCACCGTATTGAATTTCTGAGAAAAAGCTAATAAACATTTATTTTTTCTATTTGGTAAAGTACATAATTATATCGCATTGCGTGCATGTGTGTAACCGAAAATCAATCTTACCAGAATTGAAGAATTAGATCCGAATTTTTTAGTGTCGATAATTTTACTTTACTTTGCAATGATACAACAACCGAAACCACCTCAACAAGGACTACCTCATACCCAGCACCAATCACTACCACTACCTCAGTCTTTCTTATTCCCCTCGCCGGCGCCATTGCCTTCTACCGCAATATTGTTTTTTGTCTATCATTTGGTAAAATTTTTCCTCTTTTAACAGTTTTAGTTCAAAAATGAATTTCGAGGATTTTGTTGGATATAGGATAATTGATGATAATATATATGATCATCTAAATTCGAAGTTATATGATCATCTAAATTCGAAGTTGATGAAATTTTGATTTCGCATCGATCTTTTTTTTTTGTCGGACAAGGGATCTCTAATTCGATCATATTATATAAATTATATATAAAAAAGAAGATTTTATTTTAATCACTACAATGCGTAAGGAGGCGGAAAGTGGTGTTCTCAATAGATGATTTTAACGAACTATTAAATTGTTTATTCTATATATGAAATAAGGTGTGGTATCGACCTATTATCCCAGAAGATCTAGCCGTTGAATATTTCGAGAAATTGCAAGATGTTCAGGTACAATAATTCAAATTTTCAAATTTAAAATTATTGGCATTGTTGTTTTGTTCTTTTAACTGATTTGATTTTTAAATATGGAATTGCAACTATTTCCGTTCTATTATTGTTTCAACCTCGTGATTTTTACTTCTCTAATTAATAACGTAATTTTCCAAATTACAAGAATTATCCAGATCCAATATTTTATCTGCATTTATGGATATCAGCGTTGACTGGTTTGGCTGAAGCTTGTGCCGGAGGAAGTGGACGTGGGTTTAATAATATTCCAGTGAATAATAACAGTGACGACAAAAATATAGATTATAGTAATAACTTAAATTCTATTACTTTTGGTCACTCGATTTTGTGGAAAAGTTTCGTGTTGGTTAAAGTATTTATATATATATATATATATACATATTTCACTTATAATTTTGGTTTTGATTTTTTGATTATTTACTAATTCAGTGAACTTTGACAAGCTTCCATTACTAATCGAAAAACTTGAATCACGGAAAACGGAGAAATCATCATGGCTAGAAAAAGATGATGTTCAGATGGAGGAAGTTAAGGTTTGTGTTTGTATCAGAAAAAAGCGAATTCTTTTTTTTGGTTCCATCTTAATCTATTTATATAGAATCGATGTCATGAATCTGTAATTGACGAATTATTCGGGTTCACTGGACTAATAAGTGCGTGTAATAAACAAGTAGTAACTGACATCAATAGTCATGATACTAGCGATAACAATATGATACAGTGAGTAAAATTTAGTTCTCTCCATATTATATAATATTTTTATGTGCTACTTTTTGCTAAACCCAATCGTCTATGAATTAAATTAGAGACACATCTGACATATCTGTTGACATATTAAAAGTATGTCTTAAGCGACATTTAGTGCGACGAGAATTCGTCGTTGGATTGTTGAAGGATCGGGCTGTGGAGCTCGAATGGGAGGGGATGGACGCTACGGTAAATTGGGATTAAATAATCTAGATAAGGTTTTGTCTCTTTGCTCTACCTATGTAACACTAACAATAAATAATTTAATATTTCAAAAAGTTAGGATCCGCATGCTTTAGCGGTTACAATTCTAGATAACCCGGTGATGATAAATCATTTGGAGGTTACTTTGCCGCTGTATTTAAATCATGAATCAAGCGTGGAAACAATAATGAAGGTATGAAAAGCATCCTTTATTAATTTAAGCATCCTTTTGTTAATTTGCGTAATGATCAAATATGTGTATAAATTTGTCCATTTTTCTTTAGTTAATCTCAACGTGGTGCACAAATAAAGATATACAACTACAGCCGCTAGCGATGCTATGCCGCATTCTAATTCAAAATACCGCATTACTGGATCTTGTTCTTTTGTATCGACATCCTGCTGAATTATTGATGCCTTTGGAGAAGTTGTGTAATAGTTGGGACAAAGAAGCGTCGTCATCTTCGGCTATAGTGTCGTTATCATTGTCAACAGCTGACAATGGAATTGGTGTGTTATTAATACACCTTAGATCGTTAATGTTATGGGTTATTTATTGTATCTTATCAAGCTTATCATTTTTTTAGATTCATATAAAGAAGATTACGAAAATTTTGGAATAATTTTCTTACTTATTATTACTGTGATTACACGATATGATGTAAGCGAGTATTTTTTTTATTATGATTTTTTATTATGCTAATTAACATTATTTATTATTCGTCAAAATTAGCTACACACTAATATATCTGAAATACTGCTCGATAAACAAGGATTTGTTTACACATGGCTTCATCAACCCTCTATCACGTTTTCTCTTGAATCGCTTGATAACGAACATCGAAATCTCGTCTCACATTGGAATAGTTTTATTTCGTCTTCCAACAACGATGATGATACGTTATCCTCGAATTCCATTCCGGATGATCTTCTAAAGTATTGCTTTTTTCCTATTATTAGAATACAAACAATTAAATTTATGATTAAGAATATTATTGATTATCTAGAGAATCAAGTCCCAGATCACTAATACAACTATCACCAACTATCTTCCAACAACGCATACGAGAACTTGAGTCAAACGAAAATATTCTGAAAACGATAACCGCACGAGAATCCGAACCAACCGAAAATACTCCGAAAACGATGTTGATGGGCTTTAATTTATTCCTGGAACCCTGTTGCTCTTTCTGCTTAATCGGAGCTCTCCAATGGTTGTGTAATGATGCTTTGTTAAAAGGGTGAGTGGTACACGAGAGATTAAAGTAGATAATCTTTATGTGATAAATTGAGAATTTTATTCTTTTCTTATGAAAATAGACAACCTTCGATATCCTTGGAAGTAATTAAATCTTTATTATCATCATCGTCTTACGAGAAGATTCCGTCAGTGATAAAAAGTTTAGTAGGTCCTCATATTTTGGACGTCTTGCGAAAACCAGCATACATGATGGATACGGAAATCGCTTCAATAACAGAAAAAATTAGGCGAAATCTTGCTTTTAATCCGGGTAATGTAAAAAATAATTCAATAAAAATCCCGAAGCTCTATGCTGCCTACTTAATCTATTTACATCACCAACCACTTTAATAAACCAGTAATAAAACGGCGTAAATATTCTGCGACAATTATTTTCGACAGATTCAAAAATATCTTTAATTCGATTGTAGTTAATGGACGTAGAAAATTCATGCTCGATGATGATGACAATTATGCCAATGAAGATGAAAACCTTGCTGACGATGATGATTGTTATTATCATCGCGATTATAGTCAACCACCACCAATACATCATTTCGAAAATGATTTGTTTCGTGAGGTTTTGCAAGTTGGTGGGCCTCATGTTTTTGTGAGGCTAATTTTTGAGGTTAGATATAAATATATTCAATGTCATGTTTCTCATGTGCGGTATTTAATTTTATCTATACATTTATTTAGGAAGTTTTATCTGCCTCTAAATATAGCATAAGTTTACGTGCAGGTATGCAGGAATTTTTCGGAAATTAATTCATTTAATGTTACAACTAGTTAAATGTTATATTACAAAATACAGCTGAACTGGGAGCATCACTGCTTATGACACAACTCACATACTCGAATAACCCACATCTTCACCCATCAACTCTAATTTTACTATTCACCGAAACACTTGCCTCAACATTCACAAAAAAGATCGAATCATATGCCCAAGGATTCACATTAGGTCTTTTATCGATGCACGTTCTTTTACGCACAAATGCTTTTACGGTGGTGGTTGGCGATAAAACGTTATATGAACATTTCCGTGAGAATGTCTTGGTAAAGTTCTCTCCATCGAAGACATCCGATGACGATGATGATGATGAGAAAATGATGATTTTAGACTATGAGAATAAAACTAGCAATGTTAGCAGTAGAGATGATAACAATCACGAGGAAGACAGTTTTAAGGTTCCAAAATATTCTCCGGTAAGAGGATTTGCGGATGGGTTGTTATCGCACGTGGAATTGTTGGATAAAGCTCCGGAATTATTGAAATATTTAAAAGAATAATTGATCATGTATTATTTTTTCGACATGAAAAGATTACCGTGGTACATTATGTAATAATTATGCGTAATATGTTAACCATCTCTATTATTTACTTTTTCACTTTGATAATTTGAAAAAGAAATATTTCGGTGGATTTCAATTTTGCACAGCTGTCCGCACCAATTCGCTCTTTAAGATTTCGATGAACGATAGAGCTTTGGTTCTTGTTCTGTGCTGCTTCAGATTTCGAAATTTTTGCTATATATAATTAAATAAGGAAATTGAAACAGCGGATTTATTTCATTGCATAACATATTTGCTACTTCTTTTTGTAACATACATATCACAAGTAACCCATTTTTTGTCTATGCTAAAAGGAAAAATTTTTTTAAATCGCTTTTCGTCTCGCGACTTCAAATTTTTTTTTATTTATTCCTTTCTAATAATGATTAAATTTCGCAAGGGAACGTTTTGAAATTTTGCGTTACACACTGTTCTTACAATCTGATTGGTACAAACATAGTGCAGCATCATATTATTACAGTCTAACATTTTACCAAATATGGAATTGTCATTTTTAGCAATGATCAATTGTGTTGTTGTTCCAAGGATCTAAAATTTTAATTGGTCAAAAAAATGCTAAAAGCTAATTGGCGAAAAAAAGAAAATTCTAATTGGCGAAAAAAAGAAAATTCTAATTGGCGAAAAAAAGAAAATTCTAATTGGCGAAAAAAAAAATTCTAATTGGCGAAAAAAAGAAAATTCTAATTGGCGAAAAAAAGAAAATTCTAATTGGTGAAAAAAAGAAAATTCTAATTGGTGAAAAAAAGAAAATTCTAATTGGTGAAAAAAA